CTGATCACCACCTGGTGGTGAGTTGGATCAGATGGCAAGGGAACATGCCGCGTAGACCTGGCAGACCCAAACGCATAGTGAGGGTCTGCTGGGAACGCCTGGCAGAAGAACCTGTCAAGACGGTCTTCAACTCCCACCTCCGGCAGAGCTTTGACCACGTCCCGAGAGCAGTGGGGGACATTGAGTCCGAGTGGGCCTTGTTCCACTCTGCGATTGTCGAGGCGGCTGTTGCTAGCTGTGGCCGTAAGGTGGCCGGTGCCAGTCGTGGTGGCAACCCCCGTACCCGCTGGTGGACACCAGAGGTTCGGGGAGCCGTCAGGCTGAAGAAGGAGGCCTACAGGGCGTGGCTGGTCTGTGGGTCTCCGGAGGCAGCAGACAGGTACCGGATAGCCAAGCGGGGTGCAGCAGTGGCAGTTGCCAAGGCAAAATCTCGGGCGTGGGAGGAGTTTGGTGAGGCCATGGAGAAAGACTATCGATCGGCTCCAAAGAGGTTCTGGCAAACTGTCCGGCGCCTCAGGAGAGGAAGGCAGCAACTCGCTCACACTGTTTACAGTGGGGATGGGGAGCTGCTGACGTCAACTGAGGCTATAGTCGGACGGTGGAAGGAATACTTTGAGGAGCTCCTCAATCCCACCAATGCGCATTCCGAGGAGGAACCAGAGCTGGGAGGCCTGGGGATGGACTGTCCGATCTCGGGGGCAGAAGTTGCTGAGGTAGTCAAACAACTACACAGCGGCGGAGCCCCGGGGGCGGATGAGGTTCGTCCTGGGTATCTCAAGGCTATGGATGTTGTAGGGCTGTCATGGTTGACACGTCTCTACAACATTGCGTGGTCATCGGGGGCAGTTCCTAGGGAGTGGCAGACCGGGGTGGTGGTCCCCATCTTTAAGAAGGGTGACCTGAGGGTGTGTTCCAACTATAGGGGGATCACACTCCTCAGCCTCCCTGGAAAGGTCTACTCCAAGGTACTGGAGAGGAGGGTCCGATCGATAGTTGAATCTCAGATAGAGGAGGAGCAATGTGGTTTTCGTCCTGGCCGTGGAACTGTGGACCAGCTCTATACCCTTGCAAGGGTGATGGAGGGGGCATGGGAGTTTGCCCAACCAATCCACATGTGTTTTGTGGATTTGGAGAAGGCTTATGACCGTGTCCCCAGGGGCACCCTGTGGGGGACGCTCCAGGAGTATGGGGTGGGTGGCTTTCTGTTAAGGGCCATTCAGTCCCTTTACCAGAGGAGCGTGAGTTTGGTCCGCATAGCCGGTAGTAAGTCGGACCTGTTCCCAGTGAGGGTTGGACTCCGCCAGGGCTGCCCTTTGTCACCGGTTCTGTTCATCACTTTTATGGACAGAATTTCTAGACGCAGCCGTGGTGTGGAGTGTGTCGAGTTTGGTGGCAGGAGAATCTCGTCTCTGCTTTTTGCGGATGATGTGGTCCTCCTAGCTTCATCCAGCTCTGACCTTCAGCTCTTGCTGGGTAGGTTCGCGGCCGAATGTGAAGCGGCTGGGATGAGGATCAGCACCTCCAAATCTGAGACCATGGTTCTCGACCGGAAAAGGGTGGCTTGCCACCTCCGGGTCGGGGGAGAGGTCCTACCTCAAGTGGAGGAGTTTAAGTATCTCGGGGTCTTGTTCACGAGTGAGGGTAGGAGGGATCGGGAGATCGACAGGCGGATTGGTTCGGCGTCTGCAGTGATGCGGACGCTGAGCCGATCTGTCGTGGGGAAGAGGGAGCTGAGCCAGAAAGCCAGGCTCTCGATTTACCGGTCGATCTACGTCCCAATCCTCACCTATGGTCATGAGCTTTGGGTAATGACCGAAAGAACGAGATCGCGGATACAAGCGGCCGAAATGAGTTTCCTCCGTAGGGTGGCCGGGCTCAGCCTTAGAGATAGGGTGAGGAGCTCGGACATTCGGGAGGGACTCGGAGTAGAACCGCTGCTCCTCCGGATCGAAAGGAGCCAGTTGAGGTGGTTTGGGCATCTGGTCAGGATGCCTCCTGGACGCCTCCCCGGGGAGGTGTTTCGGGCATGTCCTGCCGGCAGAAGGCCCCCGGGTCGACCCAGGACACGTTGGAGAGGTTACATCTCCAATCTGGTCCGGGAACGCCTTGGGGTCCTGCCGGAGGAGCTGGTGGACAAGGCCGGGGAGAGGACGGCCTGGAGCTCCCTAGTTGGGATGCCGCCCCCGCGACCCGGACCCGGATAAGCGGAGGAAGACGAGACGAGATATATACATATACATATATATATATATATATATACATATACATATACATATATATATATATACATATACATATACATATATATATATATATATACATATATATATATATATATATATACATATATATATATATATATATATACATATATATATATATATACATATACATATACATATATATACATATATATATATATATATATACATATATATATATATATATATATATATACATATATATATATATATATATATACATATATATATATATATATATATACATATATATATATATATATATATACATATATATATATATATATATATACATATATATATATATATATATATATATATATATATATATATATATACATATACATATATATCAGACGTCAAGCTAAACAGACAGGGTTAAAAAAATATGGACCTTTTTCCCCATCACTTTCATTTTTTAAATAGTAATTAATAAACATTCGATACCATTACAATTTCCTTTCATTTAATTTTAAATAAATATTTAGAGTGCCCAGGTAGCGCATAAACAATGCAATTTAACGGTTTTCTTAAAGTAGGAAGGTTTAACCTGTGTGACCAGAGCTCTCTCCTTCCTTCTGCTCTGCGTAAACCTGAGCTGATCACCTACTTGTGCGTAATCAAATGTCTATAGGGGAAAATATGGAAAAGATAGCCATGAGGTTCACTTTTGCCTCAGACCGACTTATTGCTGTTTTATGGGGTGGCTGAATCTGCGATCCGCTGCCACGCGGACTGGAATAACAAATGCTGCAGTAACATGAGTTGTTGTCAGGTTCGGAGTCACTGGCTGGAGCGGACCCGACTTTAATACGTCATCCCAAAATAGAAGCTAATATCTTAATTTGACCTGGAATGAAAAATGTTGTTATAAAACCTCTTAAAAGTTTTTATCACGGAAGCGGCAGCGCTCATTTCTGCCTTCAGCCTGATGGCGTGCCGGAGTTTGCGCAGCGTGCGTGCTTATTGAATCTGTGTGCGTGTGTGTGTGTGTGCGCGTGGCACAGCTCCAGGAGCCACTCAAGTTACTGCGTCTCGTTATTGGCGCTATTTAAACCAATATTGTAAAATTACTTCTGCCCAGCCCAGATGTGCTCACATGTGCACCCGTGAGCCATTGTCATGACGGGAGAAAGTTTCTTGACCCACGACATGCAGAATCACCATACGGAGAGCAAGAAGGTAAGTAAAAAGGTTTTTATTACTAGATAAAGAGCAATGTGAGAGACGGGAACAGACGAGACGCAGGACTGGCAGCAGGAATCCAGGGGGAGATTCTAAGGAGGGAGACAGAGTGAATATATGAGGCGTAAACAAATGGAAACGTTATCTGAAAGACTGGTCTTACTGCTTCTTGGTAGTGGTAATTGTACAGGAAGGTTGTTAGGTCCGGGTGAGCTGAGGAGATCCACAGGTATAGGGATTGTTTGTCCAGAGGTGTAGGAGCAGGAATGGACGTTGGTAGGTGAGCGGCTGAGAGTGGGCGGCCAGGGGATGAAGCAGTGTGTCAGGCAGGCTGAGATCCGGGTCTTGTTCTGGAGCTGGTGAGAGATTGTGAGGAACCTGGAGGAGAGCATGAGAGGGCATCAAGGGATTTTCAGACGACAGGTTAATCAGAGCAAAAATACGAATGTCAAGGTCGGGTCGGAGGCTAGAGCTACCCAAAAGAGTAATCATCCGGCATGGTGACGTGTCACACTGCTCCTTAAATCCCTGGGGCCTTGATGGTGAGATCAGCTGCAGCTGGGAGCTCTCAGACACGCCCATCTGTGAAAACAATACTCAGAAGAGATCAGGGTTACAGGCTGGCAGCTCACCACGGACCATGACAGCCGTGGTTCCGCTGGAACGTGTCTGACCTCTGACAGACGCACTCTGAACTTCAGATCTTCAGCGCGCTGTCAATAGCCTGAATGGGAATAATTTCTTGATTTATTTTGTTACATCCACAATGTTCTGTGTGTGAGATTTACAATGTCAGAACACCTGCATGAGACAGGGTGTTAATTACAATCTGCCAGAATGACTCACCACCTTCAGATTTCTCCAACATCGTTAAAAATGATCAAATACGGAACATATCGGCGTGCGCAGGCCAGAGCGCTGAAGCTCGGCACATTGTTATTATGAAGCTAGGGCACATGCGGAGGACACACACACACAAATATATACTTGTTTTCAATTACATTTATTGTGCCCACTTACGTTTTCTTAGGCCCACCCACAAATGAGTTTCTGGCTACGCTAATGGTGACATATGACAGACTTCTCTGAGCTCCGCAGCCATTACACTTTTCACCTCACGCACCCCCTAGCGGTAGCTCGCTCACCCCCGGGGGTGCGCGCACCACACTTAGGGAATCCCTGGACCATGCTGTAACTTTAGAAAAACAGGCATAAAACGTCTCTTTTGTTACAAATACAGGAGTGTTTTAAACAATTTTACGTTTGATTAAATGTTAATTAAACTGAAATGTGGCACAAATATGTTTAATGTAATTAGTCTAACTGTTGACACAGAATTACAACTCTTCTCACGTTTTGTTTCTGATGCTGTGTTTTTCTGTGTAGACTCAAACAAAAATGCTTTAAAAAGCTAAACTAAAATCCACGTTTTCTTTGTTGTTATTGTTCCAATTTAGGGAATAATAAACAGCAGCGTCGGGGTTTCTCTCTATCACTGTGCGTAAGTCGGCGCGCGTGCAAGTGACATCACGAATGGGATTGGCTCGCCCTGACTGGGGTGGAGAGTCTCAGGCAACAGAGGCAGAAAGAGAGGAGAGAGTGAGGCAGAGGGAATAGTTGCCTCCACAGGAACCCAGCCAAGGTCCAGTTCCACTCCCGACGAACCACGCCCCGGGGACAATGGAGATCACAAGCTCCCCCAACTACTGTGATGGAGGTGGGGATGGACTGTGAAGCAGAGGAGTACTAGTCTGGCACTGGTTGTTTGTGAAGATGAAGTTCGGAAACAGCATATGTGTGCTGAATGTAGGGGGGACCCGTTACGCATTCACCAGTGAGGTGATCAGGGATTTCCCTCTCCGGCGCGTCAGCCGCTTACATGCTTGCGCAACTGAGAAAGAGGTGCTGGAACTGTGCGACGACTACGACCGGGACCGGAATGAGTTTTTCTTCGACCGCCACGCGCAGGCTTTTGTGTTCATTATGCTGTACGTGCGCTCCGGTAAACTCCGGTTTGTTCCCGGTGTGTGCGAGCTGTCCTTCTACACGGAGATGCTCTACTGGGGGCTGGAGAGCGCACACTTGGACTCCTGCTGCCAGAAACGCTTGGACGACAGGATGTCCGACATCGGAATGGACAGTTTGTCAGAGGGGGACATCGTAATGTCAGGGGACGAGCCTCACAGTCCAGACGAGACGGTCCCACAGACTGGTTGCGCTAAATGGCTTGAGAAGGTGCGAAGAACATTTGAGGAGCCAGACTCTTCCCTTGCAGCGCAGATTTTGGCTTCGGTGTCCGTGATATTTGTCATTGTCTCCATGGTCATGCTGTGCGCAAGCACGCTGCCGGATTGGGACACAGCTAAGAGGAAAACAGTGGAAGAGCACAGGTAAGGGGTGATTTAGAATCAAAGTTGGTCGGTGAGACGCATTTGTGCACGGATGTCCTACAAATGAGCTGGTGCTTCCGGACCCTGTGCGTAAAAGTGAGATCGCCCAGCTAAATGATCAAAGGAGTTCTCTCATCAAACACTTCATAAATACAAACAAACACTCAAATGATGATGCGTCTCTTAAGAGAGGCTGTAAACTTTTATGTGCACATCAATCCTGACGCATTAGATCACTTTATGTCTCTCACTGCCAACACAACGAATGAAATAATACATTTGTAACAGGCAGAGATTTTAATTTGTTCTTGTGCTTGATAAATGGACGCCTCTGGGGGAATTAAGCACATTGACAAGTTCCAGGCAGCTCATGAATCACTAGAATTCTGACCGTCACAAAGAGGCAAATCAATAATTAATCAATACTATATAATAAACATTAAGTGTTAATAATTGAGAGAGACATCTTTTACGTCATGTCCTCTGTCCTTTTCAGATCTGTGCATTATCGGGTTGTTTACGCAGAGGTTTTCCTGAATTGTTATTTCCAAAAGAGGTTTAAAAGTGGGATGAGGGATTATTCTGTCAACAAACATAAATGATTTAATTTAATGGTATCAGATGCTGCCTCAGCCAAACTGGGTTATTATTTCAACTCCAGTTTGTGGAACAAAGGTGCAAATGTGTTTTTCTTTGTGTTCTGCACTGTTTTGCTACAGCCTGTCCTCTCGAGGAAGTCCCGAGGAGGCCATTTTCTATATAAGGTTAGGTTATGTTCACTCTGGCTGGACATAGTTTTTGAGTTTTGGAGCAGATCCAGGGGGTTAGATAATCAACTAAATGTGTGGCTTCGACTTGGGGCCAGTAAAAGCCAATTTGATGCCTGTTGATGATGTCATTTTCTCAGCTTCTTTCTAATCCAGTTTGGTTTAATTGTGGCAGTTACCCTTTTGGCTCTGTGCGTGTGTGCTTTGAGCCTGTTATGTCGAATACCAGCACTACCTCTTTCCTAGTGAGTTTGATTCCCTTTGCTGTGTTTAATACGAGCTCATATGACTGCTTCTCTTGAGCCCTTTCTGTTCAGCTCGGACCTCTCTGTCCTGTTCCTGTAGTTTTTCCTTTACGAACTGCATCAGGGCTGACACGCGTGTCAGACAATAACATGCAGATTTTTTTCTCCTGCTTTGCATATTTCCTCCTCTCCCTGATGGATTGTCAAATAGTCACTACCATCATACATTCTGGTATCTCAGAGTTGCTCTTCTACCATTTCCTGTTTACTGATAAACTTGTTTTTCTCCCCTCCTTTCTCCTTGTAGGATAGTGGAGGCAGTGTGCATTGGCTGGTTCACAGCTGAGTGCATTGTGCGCTTTCTGGTGGCCAGAGACAAGTGTGACTTCATCCGTCATCCCCTAAACATCATCGATGTGATTGCCATAACCCCCTACTATGTCACCATGGCGATGGCCGGTGCAGGGATGCCGGGTGCCGGGCTCGGGGTCGTTGGAGTGACACTGCGAGTGCTGAGGATGATGAGAGTGTTCTGGCTCATGAAGCTGGCCAGGCACTTCCTGGGGCTGCAGACACTGGGGCTGACTCTCAGGCGCTGCTACAGGGAGATGGTCATGCTGATGGTGTTTGTCTGCGTTGCCATGGCGATATACAGTGCTTTGGCACAGCTACTCGAGCATGGCTTGGACTTGGGCTCACGGAACAACGATTATGCCAGCATCCCAGCTGCCGCCTGGTGGGTCATCATCTCCATGACTACAGTGGGATACGGGGACGTGTACCCAGTGACTATTGGGGGACGAGTACTCGGGGGAATGTGTGTCGTGAGCGGGATTGTTCTCCTGGCGCTGCCCATCACATTCATCTACCACAGCTTTGTACAGTGCTACCACGAACTGAAACTCCGCTCTGCTAGATACGCACGCAGTCTGTCTGCAGAGGTGCTGCGATGAAGATGCGCTCATGCCAAACGCATGGCCTTGCTGCTTCAGACACAAACACAACAGAACAGAAGACTCTTGTTGATTTAGCAACTGTGACCTGACTGTTTCCTGATTTTATTTTCTTGCTATGTCTAGTTTCAGATCTCTAATCATTGTCTTCAACCAGCAAAAGCTCCAACTCAAAATGTGAGCATAACAAAAGAGGAATTTATTGAACAGACACAGGTAAAGCAAGTCCCATTTTGTCAGTAGTTGCTGTTTACACTGTATTCCCATGGTTACCGCTCAGGCAGAGATGGCTGCATCAACTAAGGTGTGTGTGTTTGTTTGTCTGGATGTCAGCTGCTCAACGTTTCAGAGATTTACACCCAGATGGAGCAAGTTACACAAGATTGATGTGTGACCTAGATGCATTCGGCTAAACTGGTGTGAAATCAAGAGAAAGAGCGAACAACTGCTAGCAAAGTGGAGATGTATTCGACATGACTCAGAGGACTTGCTTTGGATGAGCTAAAGCCGACAATAATAAAATATGGGTACAGGCCAGGAGGGAGTATGAAGTGTCAGACAATAACATGTAGCCAGATTTGACAGGGCAGGTGGAGCGCGAAACCTAGGATAAAAACCATCATACTCAACAAAAAGGACAGAATCTGGACAACGCCTCAGCACAAAGAATGAATAGAAGCGTCTGTATATGTGAGTGAATGTAGGCATTTTGTGTTTCTCTGTCTCCAAGGCAACCACATCCTCTAACATGCCAATCATAATGGTGGGTTGATTTCTGTGCACACAAATAGGCTACATCCACGCACACCTCCTGGCTGGCACACCACAGTTCTGTCTTGGGACTATGTGGAATAAAGTTTAGGAAAAAAAAGAAAACAACAAGTGTGTAAAAAAACTGAGCAGCCGAGTCTGTCACAAATGATGGTTCTGACATTCATAGTTCACATTTGCAGCGTTCATCATTGCCAAGAAGATACGATTTGTTGAAGAGATACATGATCCAAACAAACAAGTCAACACCTCTCCCACACAACAGTCTTTCTCTACATCTCTTCTCTTCCTCCTGTTGCAGTCAACCATTCTGTCTTTACACATGGCCGTATTATGATCCAACTCCTTTGCAAATCTGTTGAGGATCTCGATAAATTTTAAACACACATGTATGTTTCATGTTTTCAGCACAGCTCTGTATCCGTTTAGTGTGTGTATTTATGACATCTGAAACGTCTTGTGATTTTTAAGCAGAGTTCTAATATTAAACAGAACACAGTCAATATGAACCACCTTTAATGCATAAACCATGTAGCATTGTTATAGTTTTAGGCAAAGTTATTTGAAAACGTCTGTCAAAATGTTTTCCCATCAATTCTGGTAATGTGATCAGTGTTTGAGCTTTTCTAATAAAATCATTATGTGCACATGAGTGTGTTTTAAAGGGAGACTACGCTGTTTTGGCTTGCTTTTAGCACCCCTTAGTGTCCACTTCGTAGAACCGAAAGCAAAATATATCTCCTCGCTGTGCGTTTGTGTTTTTAACACCTTAATCTAACAGCTGAAACATCTCCAAGCATTCTTAAGTGCAGTGGCGTGCCTAGATCTATTAAAATGGGGTGGCCCAAGTGAGGCACAACTTTGTGCATGGGTGGCACCAATGGTTATGCTTTTTTGTTTTACCCTCAAGCCTTTTGTAGACAATGAAAAGCCTATTTAAAGGGAAATTAGTGTGGTGGCACCTGGGGTGGCCAATCAGATTCCAAGGGTGGCATGTGCTACCCCAGGCCACTCCCTGGACACGCCCCTGCTTAAGTGTCTAGAGGAGTGATACATCACTAAATTAAAAAATCAGCTGATCTAAAACATGCCGAAAACATGCAGCTCCAGATATGTCAGCTCAATTCAAGTCCAACTGACCAGACCAGCACTCCGAAGTTGCAAGTGGAATAGTCTGGCCACAGGGGGAGATAGGGGCTGGGTGGCCTTTCAGCCCTCTGAAGGGTCATTTAAGTGCATACTGGCTCAAGAAAATGATTGAAAAGTATGAAAAAGCAGCATATCTTTAAATTTTGTGATTTGACACGTAAATGATTGACATATTTTGTTGTTATTTTGTACCATGTTGAATGAGTCCTCCTTCATTAATTATATTTATTTAATGTTGCGCGTTACAACCACAAAACTGATCAACCTTTTTTTAGATTGCTGAAGCTTTGTAATTCAAAAACAATGATGTAACAGTACAATCAAAATAACCTGCATGCCTGCTGGGCGTAGGCAGTAAATCTTCACATTCAGATGATCACCTGACCTCGCTGACCAGAGTGTTTTGAGCACTCTTCTGAGTCATGTATGAGGTGAGATTTGCAACACTATCTGGTTCATAATACTACAAAACAGCAAATCAACTCAAAATCATAAAAGCTTCCACGGCTCTGCCCCTGGGTTCAAACTATTCTAACAAATTTTGTTTTTAAAGTGTTCCCCGCTGGCCATTTGTGGCAGCTTTTGACTGCAACTCAAACATATTTTTTTTTAGCATTTTGGCCCTCCGGCACAGGCTGTTTATGCTATTAGATAATAATATGATATTATTCATATATTAACTAAATGCACATAAATTAACTTATTTTAAAATGAAAATGGTACAATGAAAAGGTGCTGTCATTTATGAAGTGTCTTTGTTTCTTCCATTGGTACCACACACCCATGCTGGCTTTGACTAAAAAGTAGAAATGAAAATCATTAATTTATCTGGACTAAGTGCAGAAATCATTATGACAGAAAGTATGACCCATGCATGTCTTGCACATTTACTGTTTAGTGACACAGTAGTATTTGCAAGACTATAGGAAACTAAAAAACAGAACAAACTATTAATCCAGAATCTGAATTTTTTTGTCATGGCAAACATTTTTATGTCATATCTACCAATACTTCTTACTTTTTCTACAAAAAGTAGAATAAAATAAACATTGTGTTTTTAAATAAAACGATGCATGTTTTGTGTATTATGTATTATGGCCAGATTGTCCTTGTAAATGAGAATGCGTTCTCAGTTGACTCATCCGGCTAAATAAAGGTTAAATAAAAAAATAAAAATAAATAGGGTATTACTCAATAGGAAAGTAAAAATTTTAACTCACTGAAAAAATAAACAACTATTTAAGTGTGTGGTCCGTGAGTCCTTTCAGCATTGCATCTTCAAAGGTTTGGACATCAGTGGTTAACTGTAAGACTTTAAAGATAATGTTAAACAATTTTAATTTTTAACAGTGACTGATAGATAGATTGATTGGTTTTTATTCAAACATTAAAAATAAGATGGAAATAAAAACACATATTTACCATAAAACAGAAAATAACAAAGAGAACAGATGTAGCTATCAAGGTTGCCAAAAAAATCCTACCCCAAGTGACTCAATAAAAACACACATGTAAATATTTATATAATTAAATCACTCTGCATGTTAAAAATACTCAATCCACACACCAAGTCTCATTAGATGAACAATATTTCAACCTAACCCATCAAAATACCATCGTACAGACGGGGTTTAACGGAATTTTACTTATATATATATATATATATATATATATATATATATATATATATATATATATATATATATATATATATATATATATATATATATATATATAACCATTAAAGCATTTGTTGTCATCGTAGTCTCGTTTCATGTGGACGCGGTCATTAACGCGGTGTTCTGTAGTGCGCTTCTTATTCGATTTATAATCAGGCAGTTTTGGGGCAGCTAAAACATGACGTGTATTTCCTCTGACCGCCCTCGCCAAGCAAAAGGTCCTTACCGGTTTAGTTGTTGTGAAAGCAGCACCTTTCTCTGTCCTTCAGCGGGAACATGTACTACAAATTCAGCGGTTTTACTCAGAAATTGACGGGGTCTTCACCCACGACTGCCTACAGCCCTCAGGTAAGCCCAAAAACGGGATTTCTATGAAGAAACCGAATCGGTAATCGCTCTGTTGACCTTGATGTGACTGTGTTAAATGACGAACTTTCACTCTACCCGCTGTCAATAACGGGCCTTTGAACCGGATCAAATTGTTTAAAAAAATCGGTGTAATTTGCTGTTTTCACATATTTATATCTTAATACATGCATTGGTGTATTTTCTTTTGATTTGATAACAAATATTGTAGATGGTGGCTTTTAGGATTTGTTCAAATTAAACGTGACTTTAATCCATTGTACTTCAAACTTGACTTCATTTTATGATGATTTTGAGGCAATTTATTATTTTATTTTGCTCAGTATACATTATTCGTAGGCTATGCTCTACTTTGTCTTTAGATGCTGTGTTAAATTTGTGAGTCTGGACTATTTGATTTTATTGCTAATTTATAAACCTTCCATGATAAATGATTCACACTTGTATAGCGCCTTTCAGTCAGAGGACTCCAAAGCGCTTTACACTACAATGTGTCATTCATTCATCCAAACATTCACACTCTGGTGGTGACAAGCTACATTGTAGCCACAGCTGTCCAGGGGTTTACTGACAGAGGCGAGGCTAACGACCACAGTCGACACTAGTCTTATCGCGTCAGACCCGTGCCACAACCCGTGCACGCGCATTGGGTCCACAGCGTGCGTGTGAACGGGACTCGCGAGCGAAAATATACATGGCAGCTCGCGCGTGAACGGGACTCGCGAGCGAAAATATACATGGCGAGAGGTCATTTGTGCACTGAGAGGGAGCAAACTGTGTCTGTGAGCGCACAAGGATGTGCACAAGTGACAAACCTGCGTGCGCGTGTTGCCAACGAGCACACGGCAGAGGAAAACGTGCGCGTGCGGCAGCCTCTCTGCGCGCTCGGCAGCCTCTGCGCGCTCGGTTTCTAATTCCGCTTGCTCAGCTGTGAGGAATTTTGGCACTCTGGAGGCGTGGCCTGTGGCAGATCTTCCCTGTCCTCTGATTGGTTAGTTTACCCCGCACTTCACTCTCTACCTATCTATATAAAAAAAATCTGAGATTCAGCAGTTGCTGTCGTAGCTCAGCTGGGAGAGCGGGTGACTCACTCTGGAGGATCCAGGTTCGAGTCTGGCCAAGGAACATAGAGTTGATGTCATAATATTCTTTCCTAATTCCTGTGATATTATTTTACAGTTGTGACCGTTCAACTGTCATTAAACGTCCGAATGTTTGCTGGGCAGTGTTTTAAAAAGTGCACATAAGCTAGATGGTTTTAACCAGGTAAAAATAGACTTGTGGGTGTAGGTATGTTCAAGTTTAAAAAGTTCTTGCCTCATTAATGTATTGTTTATTTTTTTCAGCATTTAATTGACAAATTATCCTTTCAAATAATTAATTGATGAGTTACATAATTGTCCATTTAGAATAGTTGAATGGACTGAGTCAAGTTTGGTGCACTTTATATATTTCAAAACATGTTTTTTTTTAATTATGCATATAAATAATTTTAATGTTAATTTATTGAAATATTTCTATTATTTCATTACCTCACCCTTGTTTTGACAAAAACAAGACCTTGCTGGATAATATCATGGAGAAACTATTTGTTCACAGTACATGGCTCAGTGAGGATCTGTGTACCAAAGGAGGAGATACTCAGAAATATGTCTGCAGATTGTTACAACCCAGACTGGAAGTGGTGGGCTGTAATAAGAAAGGAGACCAAACAGAGGAGTGGGGGGTTCAACATCTGATTTATTTAACCAAAGTTTAGTAAATCCTTACTTTGGTTAAATAAATCAGATGTTGAACCCCCCACTCCTCTGTTTGGTCTCCTTTCTTATTACAGCCCACCACTTCCAGTCTGGGTTGTAACAATCTGCAGACAGATTTCTGAGTATCTCCTCCTTTGGTACACAGATCCTCACTGAGCCATGTACTGTGAACAAATAGTTTCTCCGTGATATTATCCAGCAAGGTCTTGTTTTTGTCAAAACAAGGGTGAGGTAATGAAAAAATAGAAATATTTCAATAAATTAACATTAAAATTATTTATATGCATAATAAAAAAAAACATGTTTTGAAATATATAAAGTGCACCAAACTTGACTCAGTCCATTCAACAATTCTAAATGGACAATTATGTAACTCATCAATTAATTATTTGAAAGGATAATTTGTCAATTAAATGCTGAAAAAAATAAACAATACATTAATGAGGCAAGAACTTTTTAAACTTGAACATACCTACACCCACAAGTCTATTTTTACCTGGTTAAAACCATCTAGCTTATGTGCACTTTTTAAAACACTGCCCAGCAAACATTCGGACGTTTAATGACAGTTGAACGGTCACAACTGTAAAATAATATCACAGGAATTAGGAAAGAATATTATGACATCAACTCTATGTTCCTTGGCCGGACTCGAACCTGGATCCTCCAGAGTGAGAGTCACCCGCTCTCCCAGCTGAGCTATGACAGCAACTGCTGAATCTCAGATTTTTTTATATAGATAGGTAGAGAGTAAAGTGCGGGGTAAACTAACCAATCAGAGGACAGGGAAGATCTGCCACAGGCCACGCCTCCAGAGTGCCAAAACTCTTCACAGCCGAGCGAGCGGAATTAGAAACCGAGCGCGCAGAGGCTGCCGAGCGCGCAGAGAGGCTGCCGCGCGCGCACGTTTTCCTCTGCCTTGTGCTCGTTGGCAACGCGCGCACGCAGGTTTGTCACTTGTGCACATCCTTGTGCGCTCACAGACACAGTTTGCTCCCTCTCAGTGCACAAATGACCTCTCGCCATGTATATTTTCGCTCGCGAGTCCCGTTCACACGCGCGCTGTGGACCCAATGCGCGTGCACGGGTTGTGGCACGCTTTAAACGCCATACCCTCTGACCACCACCAGTAGCAGGCAAAGTGGGTGATGTGTCTTGCCCAAAGACACAACAGCTGAATTACCTGCCAGGAACTGGAATCAATCCCACAACCCTCTTGATTACTGGACAACCCACTCTACCTCCTGAGCTACTATTGCCCCAACTAGATGTGACTGTTATTGCCTTCTTACACCTCAGTGTTCTCTATTTTGACGTGTTTTAATCTTGGGCTTTGAAGGTCTTTGTGAAAATTTTTTGAATATATTTATTCAATTTATTATTTTAGAGAACAAATGAATAACCCATGTACTTTAATATATTTATCAGGTATCCACTCCCATTATCTTTTGTAAATGTACTAAACGTCCTTTAATACTTGGCAAAACACAATACTTTAAAATTTAAACATGCATCTAATATATTCAGATTTTTCTAGTTTAATCAAAACAACACTGGCCTCACAGAACATGCATACTTCATCTTTGGTGTGTTCTTACTGTGTCTAGTTTCTAATTCCATTTTTGGTTCTTTTTAAAACACAGGAAAGGTTTCTCTTTACCTTGCTAACGTTTCGTTTGCCGACTGCAAAACATCCTCAGAGCATCTCACCATTAGAGCGTCAGCTCTGAAGATGTTTTGCAGTCGGCAAACGAAATGTTAGCAAGGTAAAGAGAAACCTTTCCTGTGTTTTAAAAATAACCAAAAATGGAATGCATACTTCATGTTTTACCTTTTTGAAGAGCAAGCAAAAAGCGAGAAAAGTAGTTACCGCTCTCTGGTAGGAGTTGTATCGACTAGTTGACTTCACTGCTCTGTAGTGACTTTTTATGCCTTTCATCAACTAGTCGCTGTCACGTGATAATGACCGAAAAGAGGGAGTCCTCAGAAAAGACAGCAGGTGACAAGCCCCTGCGCGTCGGGAGGCGACGCGCTGTGCCAGATCGTCGGTATTGACACCCGCACATAGGCCATCCTAACATTAACCAGCTTGCGCATGCAAAGCTCTGATCGTTGACGCGCTCCAGACATCTGCGTCCTGAGCACGGCCACACAGTAACATCAAATTAGGAGTCGCCACCTCAATAACAAATTTAGCACGCAATCGTTTATGTCGGCTCATTTCCTTTTAATGTTTTCTGTCTTTTATTTGTGCCTGATGTGTTTCGCTGACCTGCTGTGGAGTGGAGCGCATCACCTGTTTTGTCCTCCGGTGACTCACCTCACCGGTGCGGCCGGCGCTCACTCTGCTGTTTTTGCGGTCGGTAGATCTTTTAGAACTGCAGTTCAAAGGTAACTCATGAGGTGAATATATATGAACCCAGGCAGCAGTTTTTCTTTAGGATTGAGAGGAGATGCAGGAAGATAATAAACAGGCAGGACAGAAAAATAGTCAAATAAAAACAAGTTTGTTTTTGTACCTGGTGGTTGCAACAAACAGACACCACTGAAGGTAATCAGAAGTGAGGAACAGAAAATGAAATAATTATTTTAATGTTTAGAGCAGCAGGAACTCCGAGAGGCTGCAGGCGCACCAGTGAGTTTGCGGCCGCTGCGCAGGGGGAGGGGGGAGAGGGCTGAAGCAGAAACTACCGTTGTTAAAAGAGATGTGTTAACTTAGAAAATGTGGGCGCAATTTTAATTGTCAAAAACTCCAGCGAACCAACCGACCGACGACGACGGTGAGGATAACCATTGATCTAATAACTTTACGGCTCAAGGGTCAACTGTGGTTGATTTTCTGTTTCATAACACACACAAATGATGTGAACCAGCTGTTTCTGGGAGGTGTTTATAGTGCTGTTCACCCGGTCATAACACTTAATTTGTTCAACGGTTTTAACAGTGTGCTGTTATGCTTTACTCCTTCATACTGACGGGTATTCTTTACACGTAATAAAAGCAAAAATACACAGTTAAGATTAACCACAAACTAAAACAACATTACAGTTCCACTGAAAGCCTAAAACCATTTGTAACAAAGCATCACTGTAGCAACCCTCATAAAAGCTGGAGTTACTGCAGGGCAGCTGGAATAGACCGTAAATAAAAGCACAGGTTGGGTTTTTCTGCCTGATGTAACCTTACCAAAGCTATAAGATAAAGTCCCATAAGTTATTTCTATTTAGCTGAATCGTTTTCTTCAGTAATAGGCTTGTTGATAATTAGTTTTTAAATGTTATAGTTTGACTCTGCTAATATTCAAGTTTTTGCTCTAAATTAAACATACTATTAAACTGCTTTCCATAATATTTAGTAAAATTTAAATAGGCAGAAAATTGTAATCAATAAGTGAATTCCTTTGTTCTTACAAAACTAGAAACTTAAGATTTTCAGCTTTTCTTCACATTTGTGCCATAAAACGAAAAGTAACACATGAATTTTGCACTCATTTGAAAACCTTTTGGTACAACATTACATCACAATTTAATTTTCTGTGTTTTATAACCAAATTTGTAAAGTGTTTTATTTAATTTCAATATTTTATTTTACTGTTTTAAATCATTTTAGATCCTTTTACATGTTTAATTATGCAATCTCATAATTAAACAATTGGAGGTGCACAGATTCTGGTTTGTGGACCAATTGACATTTCTGACTCTTGAACAGCTGACCCAATGATACTGATTTATCTCAAAGAACTATAATCACCGTGATCAAATTAACAGGTTAAAATCCATATGGATGATCCGTTATTGCTAGCCTGAATTAGTTCTTTGTGATAAGTTAGCCACTAATGCTGAATATTGCCTGATTCTGGTCACTAGAGATCTACTGATATGTGTTTCTTTTTTGCCTATGCAGATTTGTACAGGTCGTTATCATCCGGTATGTGCTGCCGATTTTTTGGGCTGATTGTCATGGCCAATACATAGATGTTTTCTCACTTATTTCGTGGTTTCCGTGGGGTAGTGAAAGGTAGTAAAATGAACCTAGCTCAGATGAAGGCCACTATACTGTAACTTTTTCATTTATGACTTTTTTTTTTGTTTAACAAATAAAATCATTTATATGTGTAGTCAGGACCTAGCCTGGCAAGCCATCCAATATATGTGAATGTATAGTAGAGCCACGACCCATAGAGAGAGCTCAGTTGTGGGGTGGGATTTACAGTTGTCTTTCAAAACCTGAATAGTATTGGACAACAACCAACGTGACGTACTTATCGCTACAGATGTCAGTCAACTGGGCAGTCCACCATACACTGTTGGCCATTTGCCCGGTGCTGACATGCAAAACTCTCAACACTTTTTTATTTTATCTGTGTGACCCGCCCGTAAAACCATTAGATCAGCAGGCCGATCACGTTAAACACCAACCCCTTTCGCTCTGGTCCTGCCTGCAGTCTATAGAAAAGTCAGCAGCAGCAAAAGTTTTTTCAGAACCTCCGAGGAAGGAAATGTCTTTTCATTTTAGTAGAATCCACAAAAAGGGTTTCTGCTGTGAACTTCTGTTGAATGACGAGCAACAAGGAATAAAACCAGTGCCTCTGCTTTTTTTTATGGGTCAGATCTAATTTCCACACCATCTGCCTCCACAGGTTCCAACAAGGTAGTGACTGTTCCAGTAACTTTCATGAGCCTGCTGTTAGGTGACAGGATGCAGACACCAAAAGGAGCCTCAGCTTTATTCATTGGCGGTATCCAGTAAAAAAAAATGGCACAATTAAACATATCTAGCACTGTTTGATTTGAAGTGCTGCAACTGCAGAGTAAAAATAAGTGCTTTATTCAGATGTGTTTATGGTTTATAAATAGGCCCTATTGGTAACATGGCGGTGTTTCTCATCCTGATGTGCTGCTTAGTCACTCTTCAATGTTCAGATCCTTAAACAGCCTCTCAGGTCAATCCCTAACTCACGATCAATACAGCACTCATGTAATCAGAGTATTTATGAGCCTACCTAATGACTATTGATGTTTTTCTTCTTAATCCACAAAGGATCGATATGAAGAGACTTGTTTTTTGTTATTGTCAGAAATCGCATTATTATTACGTGGGCCTTCAGCTTTTGCACACATTTCTGATTAGATTTTTAAGAATAAGCTCACATTTTATTTGTCATAAATGTTTTCCAACAATAACTTTGTTGTTTATCTTATCAGGAGTGCATCCACTCATCTTTTAGAGAGTTTTAGTGTTTGGAAAATAACCTTAATATTTTCAAGTAAAACACACCTCAACAACTTACAAGATCAATGATGAAAAACTAAATCAGATATAAATTTCCCACATTAAATCTTTGATTCTGCTGCTAAAAGATGTAGGCTGATTGCCTCGCATGCATGTTCCTTTGGTGATCTGTTCCTTTTCTCTCCTTTTTTTAGATTTTTATTTTCATTCAGCTCTTTTTGTATCCTCTGAGGTCTCTGTCAAGGTCTCATACCCACAGGGCTGAATTGGGTGGGCAGGAAAGTGGAGCAGGTTATATAAGTGGTAAACGTTGAAAATGAGGTCTGGAAGGGAAAAAGAGTCTTCTGTGACTGCAGCAGGATTTTTTGATTGGACATTTTATCGGAACAGACTTTAAAGACTTTGTTAATGTTGCAATTTCCTGTTACATGTATGAATATGAACACATTTTAGTGACACTAAACGTTTATTGTTTTCATATTAAATCAGGGACTGAAGCAGGGTCTGCCTGCAGAACCCCCCACCATGATCTTCGCCACGCCCACTAAGGTGTTGACAGGAACGGGGGCCATGGTGGAGCACTATGGAGAAAACAGGGTTCCAGAACTCCAGAAGCTTTTCCAGGTATTTTACCCTGAGCACTGATGCATTCCTGTCATGAAAAATAATGAAAATTCTGTTCGGTCCTTGTACCACCTCTGCCTAACCCACCCGTGTTTGAACAGAAATAACAAAATGAGCTATTAAAAGGGAAGAATTGACTTTTGGACCTGAGAATTCTTTGTAGATGTAAAACCTACACATTGGGACAAAACTCTTATTATAGAGTGTATAATTAACATTTTTCTCCGTTTAAATTAACCTTTTATTCAAAACGTGTTCATGTACAAAGATTCTGATCACTGCTGAAAAAAAGATCCTTTAAAAGAAAATTCACTCATGTTGAAGCCTTGGCCTGGTTCACAACAAAAGAGACACTTTCTAAGAGTTGATGGGAATGTTAGGTTATGCATATAACTAGGGCTGCTCGATTATGGCAAAAATAACAATCACGATTATG